GGGGTGGGGGGAGGACCAGGGAGGATGATTCAACCACTCAACCACTAGATGTCGCTGAAAACAACAAATCCTACACACTGTGCCTTTAAAAACCAACTTCAGTAATGCCTGGTTCACACAGCAATATTTAAAATTTGTATGTCGACTTTCAAAGACTGAGACACCATGAGGATAAAATTCATAGATATACAAGGTTTGGCCCTAAAGTGTGTGGTGTGCAGCCAAACGGCAAAATACAASACTGATGGGAAATCTCGCAAAACTTCTCAAAATCAAATGCGAGTTCAGAGGCAGACGAGGAAAAAGTAATAGTGATAATTTGGGAACTATTACCAGAGAAAAAAACAAAACAAACAAACAAACAAAAAAAGACATCTCTAACATCCACCGGACCTTCTGATTCACCATGGCAGTCGTTTTGTCATTTGTATTTTGGACTCCCCTCCATGTTTCCATCTTTTCTGATTAACTAGAAGCCACATTCAACAGGCTGCTTGCTCGTTCGTCTTTGGGGGAACTCCGCACATCGCTGGGATATCAGGTCAAGACAATCCAACGTGTTGAATATCCTTGATTTGTGCTCGGAGTCGTCCCGATGTCCTTCCGAGCYGATTAAGATCACTCTTAACACACCACACATGGCAGGRTATCKCACAAGATTATCACGATAATCAGGGTGTCCTTAAGATTGTTTGAAGGACAAGATCAGGCCATAAATTGGCACAATTATTTTACCATGTGGATCAGGGATGAGTCGTGCAATGGGACCTCTATGCAAACACTGTTTCATTTTATTTTTTACTGTTGTCTTCCGAATCCACAATATCTTTTCCTTCAAGTTGTAACAGGACTGCTACAGCTAACAGCTGCCRCTGTTAATTTTGCCTTCATTTAATTACGTAATTCTTTATAAAAACCTGCGTAATACAAAATTGATGGTGATGTAAAGATTTATGTAATACTGATCACAGAAATGGCTATGAATTGTTTTAAGATGGTAGATCACTTTGATCTTAGCCGTGTTGGACTCATCAGTACAGTCTGAATTAAACTGAGTCAAAAGTCACARGACACTCTTTGCACCCACTTCAAAAGATCTGCACTATTGCTTTATGTCTGTTACTTTATTCTTCAGATTTGACAGCTACTTTGTGATAATGGGAACAGTTTGACATACTTATATTAACTGTCAATCATTAGAAAAGATTTAACACCCACATGTACATATATTATTATTTTACATCACTAATTTCAACTTATGTCACAATAATAAAAGAATCTAAAGAAACCACTATTTAAGATAACATTAACTTTTATTTCCTATATCGTTCAGTCCAGTGAGGCACACCAGGATCCGCTCTGCACCCACGCACTAAATACTCCCTCCCCTCTCTGAGAAATAGAAAGTAGAAGATGTTTTCTCCGAGGCATAGACGCCCCAAATGATTACAGATGACAAGATTGTATTCATTTCATTGTGAGCCAATAATTGCTGTAATGCTGATTTCTGTTTAACTACACGGCTGTGTCCCAGGGGAGGATGGTAATTAAAAGAAAAGCTGCTAAAGACGAATGGTGTCAGAGACTCACAGCTCAGCATTATGAAGGATAAAAAATACCTGCAGGTGCAGAGAGAGTTTAAAAGAGATCCTTGTTTGAAAAGCCTTCTGGTAAACTKGCAACACCCACCCTGAAGCTAAACAAACAGGGTCCAAACAAACTCTGAGCAAATACGATGTAATAAAAATGGCACAAAAAATAACTTTTTATATAAACATGTAGTAATGTCAAATAAAACAAGTATAGTGCCTAAWGCACCTTTCAGAAAATTGTCAGAGTATTCGAAATCCAAAGCATGAATTCGGCATGAGACCAAAATACAAGTTCATGAATTATTCTTTTTACAACCGCAATGGACAGAGCTTAAAACAAGTAGATCAACAACGAAATTATCTAGAATGGTGATAGAACGGTGATGAAATAAGGACGTTTTGACCATTTTAGTATAAAAAATGCTCAATTTTTTTTTGCTGATTTAACACTGAAAACCTACAAAACAGGATGGTCCTTCAACAAAGTTTTCTTTTTCTATATTGAAAGTAATTGAAGGAAATGACATGCTTTTAACATTGGCTACCTATATATAATCTAAAACCATCATAAAATTCAAATAGGCACAAATAGTAAAATACATAGTGAAAAACAGAATAATTGAGGATAAAAAAATAACTACTTACTGTAGATGAAATATATATTTTGTGCTAACTTTTATCAAGTGCTGTAAGCTTGAAAGTGCTTATAAGTTTGTCGAACTAGAGCAACACATTCATCAATGATCAATAAGTGTCAGAATTCAATCAACCAAAAACGTGGTGAACGAGCAACTACTTAGCTACAAGAAATTAGAATGAAACAGCAGTGGGGATAGATGGAAAAATGCAATAATTGGAGGAGAGTCTCCTCCAATTATTGTGTTTTGGTGTTTGGCTGTTCTATCCCAATGTATTCTACAAAACATAAACCTGAGCAACGTGTCATGTGTTTGCATCACTGGTAATTATGACAAACAATTCAMTGAAACATGTTAAGAACATGAAACTGCAACGTGAAAAATTTACCTGTTGATGACTACTTGCCTACTAGATTTTTAAATTTATTTTTCCCTCTTTGGTTTCCTGTGTTTATCACTTCTCCTCAGTGTTTTCTCCCTGTGTGGTTCTGCTCCTAGCTGTCTTGCCCCAGGTGACTCTCATTAAGATCGTTAGTGTTTCCTTTATAATCCTTTATATTCTGCTCTCGTCTCTTTTTCCCACTGGTGTATTGTGTTTTCCTTGCTTTCATGAGCTCACTGGCTTTATTTTTTGCTAATAAATTAKTATGTATTTCTTGAGTTCTGTCTGCACCCAAAGTTCAAAACCACCTGCAATCATATATCCCAAGTTTTTTAAAATCAGAATAGTAGATTACATGAGTACTACTCAAGATGTTTTAAGTGGAATAGGCCTTAGTAAAGGTTATATTTGATGTGAAACCATAGTCTGATGACATTTTCTGTCTTAAACATTTGTGGATTGAAACTKMGGTTTTCTGGATGGACAGAAAGGCTCAGTTTTAGGAAACAAAGTTGGAAAATGAAGCCAGCAGGACCTGGTGTATGGGAGCTKCCATGTTGTAGTTTTGGAACAWGAGTGTCCTCTCAAACCTCACCAACTCCCCCGTATATAGTCATGATCGTTAATGACCATTCTTCAAGGTTGAAAAAAACAAATACAGTTTAAAAAAATAACATTAAAGGACAAAGTAAGAACTATGTTTGATGCATTAGATCCCTATTTTTAAAAATTAGCAGCTCATAATTTCAGCGCCWATCACTTGTATTTTTAATCTCTCACTTCAGACTTCTGAGCTCCCCCAGGACTGGAAGTCTGCTGCTGTCACCCCACTTTTTAAAGAAGGTGAGAACTCAGATGTAAATTGCTACAAACCCATCTCCATCCTGCCCTGTCTCTCGAAAATATTAGAGAAGCAGGTCAACAATCAAATCCAGCACCAATTGGAGACTAACAATGTTATTAATAAGTTTCAGTCTGGCTTCAGATCTGGTCATAGCTGCATCTCCGCTATACTCAAAGTCCATAATGACATTACCTGCGCCACTGACAACARACAGTACTGTGCAGCTGCATTCATTGATTTATCAAAAGCTTTTGACTCTGTGAACSATAAGCTACTGCTAGACAGATTAAGGGACATAGGACTCTCTGAAAACTCTCTAGYCTGGTTTAAAAATTATTGTTCTTACCGTCTACAGTCGGTCTTCTGTCTGACCYTCTGCCTCTAGCAAATGGTGTCCCACAAGGAAGCATCCTAGGACCYACTCTTTTCAATATTTACATCAATATCCCTCTTGCAGTAGGTGACTCTCATGTTCATATATATGCAGATGACACTATTGTCTACATTTCTAGTCCATGCCTGCTGCTCTGTCTTCACTGCAGACTAGCTTCACTTCACTTGAACCGGCTTTTGCTAGTCTGCATTTGGTTCTGAACACAGACAAAACTAAATGTAGTTYTTAACAGAAAAGTACCACAAAGCAAGAATCCCTAATATATTCTTTGAATGGTACGGAGATTGAGTTTGTCAAAAGTTATAAGTATCTTGGTATCTGGCTTAACAACAACGTCACATTTGAAAGCCACATAAATGTCCTGCAGTCAAAGATTAAATCCTGCATTGTTTTTTTTTTTACCGCAACAAATCGTCCTTCACTCACTCTGCCAAACAGCTCCTGG